CTCGCCTGAGGCCATGTGACAAACAAAGTGGTTTCCTGACCCCCAGGAAGGAGAGGATCACAGACCAGTGACCGCAGGAATGCCTCAGTATTCCTGCAACGTGGCCCGGCCAGGATCTCATCATTAACCACCCTAAATATCACTTAATAGATAACATGGTAAATAGCCTGTTCACGGACAGAGAGCACATGTGAAGTGGGTTGGAAATGGCTTTCTCTCTTACCTCTCACATCAGCCATTCATTTTCTCCCTATCGAATGCTTTGGGCCGACACTAACAAAATTAAATTTGACAGAGATAAATGTGAAGTCCCTAGGAATAAACATGCCGTTCAACAAAAACAAGTTGGGGGAGGTGAGCCAGTTCTTGAGAAAAATTCCTGGGAGCCTGAGTCGACACTGGGTCCCATTAACAGAAGCATAGAGTCCAGAGGAGAGGAGGGGACAGCTCCACTGTGCTCTGAAACATTGGGTTTGGTGGTGGGAGCTGAGAGTTGGAAGCTGACCCAAAGAAGGGAGCTAGGCTGGAGAAGTCTCTTGGAACCATCAATAAAGAAATAACTGAAGGAACTGAAGATGTCTGACCTAGAGAAGATTTCATTTAAAGGAAATACCCAAATCCTTGACTCTGGGGGAAGGGAGCAATCTCTTTCACTCCATGTACCAAAGACAAGTGGTGCCTTCTTCTCCACAGCCCCCCTTCTTTAGACTAAGGTTGGGGATAAGGTTGATGGGGATGGAGGTCAGGCTTCCTGCCTGTTAATAAGGTCTGCTAGGGGAGGGTCTGGTCTCAACTGTTGGCAGCTGATAGGCCATCCTTTATCCTCAGCTCTGGGCCTTACCTGCAAATCCTGGGCAGCTGGAAAAGCAGCTTTGGCTTCCATCCTGTCAGACACATTCAGTGATTTGAAGGGTCCACACATGACAGACAGATTCTTTTATTCCTAGGGATTGTAAGTAGCACCAGTGGTTGGAGTTTTATGGAGGATCTTTCAGGAACTTCAAAGCTAAAGCTGTTTAAAAATGGAGCGTCTTGGGGAGGTAATGAGGTCCCCGTGGCTGGCAGTTACCAAAATGGGAGAGAATCAGGAGAGGATTCGGGGCCCCAGTGGGGACATGAACCAGATGACTGGCCAAGTTGCTTTGAAAGCCTGAATCTGAGAGATGACGTGAGTTTCACTCCAGCACACTTAACAAGGAGATGCCCAGTGAACCTGACTTCTTACCCTTTGCCCACCGGCTCCCACAGCTGGCTGAGGAGCAGGAAGATGGAACACGACCGTGAGCAAGGCACCTTCACCTTCCTGTAAGGCTACGCTCCCCCCGGGAGTGAATGAGGCACGCTGCATTTTCTCCCACACAGCACAACACGTGTATGAGCTTCCAAGGGCCCCCGTAACAAACTGTCACAAACCGGGCGGCTGGGAACAACAGAAATGTATTGTCTCACAGTTGTGCAGGCTGGAAATCCAAAAGCAAGGTGTCAGCAGGGTGGTGGTCCCTCTGAGACCCTAGTAGGATCTTTCCTTGCTTCTCCCTAGCTTTTGGTGGTGGCGGGTAATCCTTGGCATCCCTTGATGTGTAGACACATCACTCTGGTATCCGCCTCTGTCTTCACATGACCTTCTCCCTTGTGTGTGTCTCTTTCCACATTTCCCTTTATTTTTTTTTTGTAAGAACACCAGTCCCTGAATTCAGGGTCCACCTGAATTCAGTGTGACCTCATCTTAACTTGCTTAGATCTTTAAGACCCTATTTCTACGGCGCCTGGGTCGCTCAGTTGGTTAAGCAACGGCCTTCAGCTCAGGTCGTAATCCTGGAGTCCCAGGATCGAGTCCCTTATCAGGCTCCCTGCTCAGCAGGGAGTCTGCTTCTCCCTGTGACCCTCCCCCCCTCATGTGCTCTCTCTCTCTCTCTCATTCTCTCTCTCTCAAATAAATAAATAAAATCTTAAAAAAAAAAACAACCTTATTTCTAAATAAAGTCACATTCATGGGTACCAGGGGTTAGGACTTCAATCCATCTTTCAGGGGGACATAATTCAACCCCCAAACAATGCCCATTTGTTCCGTCTGTGCATAAGAGTTCAGTGTGGAAGGCGAGAAGGAGCGAAGAAAGGAAAGGTAAAGGGGTCAATGCACCACTGCGTGTGTGCATTCAATGTATCTCTGAGCATAATTGCACGTGGTGGGATCTACAGTGCGTGCACACAGCCCCAAGAAAGAGATTCTATGGGCTAGTTGAATTGATAAACCATAACTGTGGATGACTATGCAGCCACTAAAAAGAACGGGTGTTTTTTAAACAGTCAATATGTTGGACAGTGTAAGTTCTACTTACAGTTTCTATCAAATATAAAATACCTCTCCTAAATGTAGAGTTGAGGTGAGCAAAACCTATTGAGGGAACATCTGGAGCAAAGGTATCTGTAGGCAAGCTAACAGTTCAAAACCTGAGTTTTGTTTTCAGATTGAATATAGAAATATATTCCTTTCCTCATTTCTGCCAAGGGCATATTTCCCTTTTACATTATCGGTGCCAGAGTAAGCTTTCTTGTCCTAGACTCTAGGCTATTTCTCGCCAGGGTTTCCAGCGACTGTTGGATTAGTATCAACTTATTATTTTTTATTAAAAATAGATAAAAGTTTTTCTAGAAGTTAAATCTATAGGTATTGACCTGGAAGGATGTTTGTACATATTGTTAAACGAGAAAAGCAGGTTATGGATTGAAGTGTAATGTAGAATTCCATTCAAAATATAAGCATCCAAAAAAAATATATATATATATAAGCATCCTTGGGTGCCTGGGTGGCTCAGTTGGTTAAGCGACTGCCTTCGGCTCAGGTCATGATCCTGGAGTCCCGGGATCGAGTCCCGCATTGGGCTCCCTGCTCAGCGGGGTGTCTGCTTCTCCCTCTGACCCTCCCCCCTCTCATGTGCTCTCTCTCTCTATCTCATTCTCTCTCTCAAATAAATAAATAAAATCTTTAAAAAAAAAATAAGCATCCTTGAAACCACTTTTATCAGTCCCTTATAAAACTAACCTATCATATGACTCAGCAGTTGTACTCCTGGGCATTTATCCCAGAGAATGAAAACTTAGGTTCACCCAAAAACTTGTACGTGAACGTTCATAGCAACGTTATTAGAAATAGCTGGACACCACAGGCGTAACCGCTTTGAACAGTCAGATGTCGCAAACCACGGTACATCCTGGTTGTGATACTATAATTTCGCAGGATGTTACCATTGAGGGAGAGTGGGAAGAGGGTACGTTACAACTGCCCGCACATCTACCATTATCTCCAAGCAAAAAGTTCCATTTAAAAAAATGGGGGGAACCTCACCTAGATGTACGCGCGCAGGTGTGCGCACAGCAGAACATACGGGAAGATACACATGGCTGGCCTCTGGAAAGCCAGTCTGAAGAGACGTTATTTACTTTTTCGTTGTCAACCTCTTACTATTTGACTTGCTGACAAGCGCGCATGACTTGGTGGTTTTGTTTAGGCTCATAAAGTGGCCCGAAAAAGGTGTGTGGGGAGAGGGAGGACCAGTAGAGGGCTCGGCCCGCCTGGGCCACCCCTGCCTGGGAAACCCTCGCTCTGGGTTTCCACGAACACCCCGGATATGGGGTGTGGGAGGCCGGCGTGAGGGGAGGGCCTGGCTGGCCCACTCTGGCCTCCGTGGGGCCCACTTCCCGGCCAGCCTGACACTGGCCCACCCTCGTGCTCTCTCCTCCCACTGACAACCCCTCGTGCTTCTCCACCAACCCAGGCGCTCGTGGAAGAGTAAGGACCTGCAGAGGGTCCTCCCACCACCCCCTGACCAAACCCGGCCCACCCCCCAATGGGTCCTCGAGGCCCCAGGGCCTTCAGGAAGCGGGGGTCTTCACCCAGCACCCCGGCAGAGGGGAAAGCTTGGGGAGGCTAATCGGTAAACGGGTGGAAGGGCAGCGTGCCCCGTGCTCGTCAGGGGCCTCTCTCAATTGGAAGCACTGGCCCCAGTGTTGGAAGCAGCCCCAGCCCTAGCCGTGCAGTGTTGTCAAGAGGGGCTCCTTGCAGAAGCAGGGAGGCCGAGCCGGGCATGAGGGGGTGGCTGGCAGGGCAGGGCCTTACGCCCTGGGGGCCCCGCTCTCCGCCTGTGTCCCCTTCTGTGCTGGGCACTCCCAGACTGCAGGGGAGCAGGGGCTGAGAGAGCGGGACAGAAGCTTCTGGAAGGGAGGCCTGGCCTCTCCTCCAGGGTGTCCTGCCTCCCCCTCTGTGGAGGCTACTTCTCAGAGCGGGGAAGGGAAAGCAGGCAGGAGATGGTCTCGGCCTTTCTGGAATGTTCTCTGGCTCCATGTTATCGTCCCTCCATCACACTGATTCGGAGTGTGTGTTAGGAGGGATTTACAAGTGTTTACAAGAGAGGAAAGGCAGACAGACATCCCAGGGGCAGATTTCATCCCGACTCACCTGACCCAGACCCAGACCTTCCCCCCAAGACGGCCCCCAGCCCCTCCCCCTCCTGAGTCCAGCCACAGAACCTCTGACCACTCCCCAGGCTCTGACCCCAGCCCTCCCTTTTCTCAGCTTCCTCCTCCACCCAGAAGGCCCCCCTCCCCCTATTCCCAGGGGCAAATTCTTCATCATTTTTCTAGATGGCTCTGCAGTCCCCTTGGAAGGGGGATAGAAGGTCAGGCTTGCCCCGAGCAGTTCAGCTCGATGCCCCTTGTCCCTGCATAGTTACTGATGGTGGGCCTTTCACTCTTTTGGGCACCCAGATGTGGATCAAGAGTGAGATGGTCACCTCCAGGGCGCCGCCCCCACCCCCGTGCGGTCCTTCTCTGCGTGTATGCCCATCCCCGCACAGACCGGGGATGCCAGAGCGGGCCTTCCTCCTCTCAACGTGCCCCGGGCCTGCCCAGAGCCTGGCGCACACGCCGTACACAAGGCTGGAGCGAGTGGGCGCATGAACCCTGCAACATTTACAATGTTCTTTCCCTCTTGCTCTCCCCAGGGATCTATAAAGGCCACTGCTTCCGGATCAATCACTTCCCAGAGGACAATGACTATGACCACGACAGCTCAGAGTATCTCCTTCGTAAGTGTCAAGAATCTTTGGCTTCCTTGGTGTGCGTGGAGCAGGGAGGGGTGTGGCTGGACGAAAGACGGGCCCCGTGCGGGTAAAGGGGGTGCTGTTCTTGGGATGCTCTTTCCCTCCCTTTCTGATTCAGAATTGTTCGTCCAGAGGATAGACTTTTGTCCAACGCTGCTGTGACGTGCTGGGTATCCCAGTGGACTTCCTTGGTGGGTAGACCCATGTCTGGGGAGACTGAGGCAGAGCCGGAGCAGATGAGGGTGTGGGCGTCCCGCTCCCCAGGGCTGCTGGTCATGGCTAGTTTCAGAGTCAATGATTGTTGCCGCTGTGCCTGGAACAAGGAGGTTAAGGACATGGGCTCCTCCAGGCCAAGCATCCCGGGGCAGGGGGGGCGGGGCGCGCCGTGACACCCCAAGTACTTTGCCCTGCCAGCACTGTACCTGCCCATCCCACCCCACACACCCAGCATTCTATTCTGGAAAAAATCAGAGGAGGCCGCACCCTCAGGCTGCCTGGGGGAGAAGGCAAGGGGGTGGCTCTCGGCACCAGCTGGGGGAGCCACGGCCTGTGCCCGGGCCCTGGGGCTGGTTCGGCCCCAGACTGGAACTCGCAGCATATCCTGCACAAGGACAAACCCCGTCCCACACCCCAAAGCCGGATCTCACCCCTGGGCCTGTGAATACCTCCCTGGGAAGAAGGATGGAGCCACAGCCAGGGAAGGGACCTGGAAATGGAAGAACAGCACCATTTTGAGGCCACTTTCCCTTTCCCATTAGCTAAGACACACACAGCTGCTCACAGCATCCCCCTCGGGGGCCGGGGCCTGGCTTCATTTATGGAGAATCGATATCAGCATCCTCGCAGGGAGCAGAATTCAATCTGCACCTGCTTATGGATCGTTTGGGTTTTGTTTTTTTTCCTAAGAGAAAGGATTTGGGTTCTGAGTCATCTGGTGAAAAAGTACAGCGTGTGGTTCCCATGGAGCCTGGGGAAGTGGTGGGCAGCTCTGGCCGAGCCCAGGACCTGAAAAATTTTGGCTAGATCTGCCTCCCAACCCTCCTCCCTCACCTTCTCTTCTTCTTCTTGCCTGTCCTTTCTTTCTGCTTTCTGTGGGGCCAACACTGAAGCAAGCAAATGATATTCCATAGGGCCACCGCAAATGGCCGTGCATCTCACACACTGCTCAAGGAATGCCACGTACATAGACTATGGTATAAATGACACCCTTGAGTTGTACAGTGCGTGGCCTGCACAGCCATCCGGGGCGACCCCTGGTGCTCAGCCTGGTGGGGATGGCTCAACTAGACTGATTCAGAACCTGCCATTCTCTGCCCTACCCTGGGCAATCAGGTGGTTCTTAAGGCTCTGAGAGCAGATTTGCCCCACTGACCAGCCCCGGGGCTGTGAGGAGTGAGGCATGGAGAAACAAACCATCCCCTCCCCATTTCCCGCTTGAACTTACTTGAGGTTATGGACATTGGTGCTGGCTCTTCCTCTTTACTTCCCTGCCCCTGTCCCCTCTTTGTCCCCAGAGCCCTGCAATCTCTTTCTGGATCGTTCTCATGACTAGCGACCCAGAGGTCAGATGATGTAGCTTTTTGAGGTCCCAGCAGGAAGCAGATGGTTTGCTCAGAGCGGGTGAATGAAGGGTAGCTAGTGAAGGACTATTTACAAAGGTGTGGGCAGGGTTAAAGAAAACTCACGGGGGACGGTGAAAACACCAGGGCTAACAGCCAAGGGAGCCCTTCCACTCCCGGGCCTGAGCAGGTGAGGAAAGCAGGTATGGGAGCTGGGAAGAGGGAAGCCGCGAGGACGGGGCTGCCCAGCAGGAGCTACGGCTTTTAGAAAGGAAGGCAGCCACCTCACTGCAGCTCCCAGGAAGGAAGCTAAGGGGATAACACTCCCCCCGCGCGCTCCTCCCAAAGCCAGAGGCAAGGGAGCCCAAGGATTCCGTGCATGGCTTGTGCCTCCCGGGGCCCAGGGCAGGGGGCAGAAAGTTGGAACAAGGATGGGGAGGGGCAGATCAGGAATTGGTCCTGAAACGAGGTTCAGAGTGCAGGTAGCTGAGAGCTTCAGCCAGAAAAAGCACGCAACATCCCGGGACAGGCCAAGGTCACGGTCACCGTGCCTATCGCCCCTGATTCCCAATATGCGGTCCTCTGGTCCCCAGACTACTGTGATCCCAAAAATGTGTAGACGCACAGGAGAGAGAGACAAGGGTCATGAGAGTTCATCTAATCACCCATTGAACAAAAAGTGATTATGGACCTACGTGCCAGGCACTGTATTAAGCATGTGGGGGTACTGCACTGAACAAAACAGGGCTCTGCCATCCTGGTGTTGACATTCCAGTGGAGAACAGGTGGGTCAGAGAAGGTCACAGAAGGTTCCATGGTGTCTGCCTGTGGGAGAGCCTGCTGGGGTGCAGCTTAGCTGTCCGGGCACAGGGGATCAGCCCCGACAGGTCCGAGGCTGTGCTCCTCACACCCTGTCTTCGACAATTCAAGAACAAGGTCAGCCTTCGGGCTGTGCGTTCTGAAGTCTTCCAGAGAAACCAGGCTTGTGCATTGAGTTCCATAACCGTCAGAGGGCTTCCTCCTGGCCTTGGGGCTCTGGCGGTGCCCCCCCTGGTTGGTAGACCACCCCACACCCTGCCTGCCATGTCTTTTCCACTGGCCCCGCTGGCCCCAGGGACGCCCGTCCGCCCTGCCCTGCACCTGGTGCCCCTTTTCCAGGCTCCGCACTTTCCCATCAGGTGGCTGGTTTCTGTGCTAAGCCCGGCAGAGCGGTGTGAGGGCTGTCCAGAGGCCATGGTGTGCCTGTGAGTGAGTTGGAAGGAGCTGCCCGTCCTCTAGACAGACACAGGTTCTCGCCAGGGCTTGATGTGGACCTCAGCCCCGCTCGTCCTTCAGCTCTGTGCAAGACCCAACCCGCACCACTGTCCACAGCGACCCCAGCTGGTGTCTGCACATCCGGAGCTTGGGGATGAGCCCGTGTGGCAAAGGACAGGTACACACATGACTTACGTGGGCAGGATGGATGGCTCTGAGCCAAGTCTGACCTCAGGGACCTCAGAGGCCCTGGGCTTCCTCCTCCCCAGCCCTTCCAACCTGCCTGCAGAACGAGAACATCTAGGGGGAATTGATCCCGGATTTTTCTGGCCAGCATGGCTCAGAGGCATGTTTCCAAAGCCCACGGGAAGCCTCCTCCCAGAGCCTGTGGCTGCGAGAAGGCAGAGGAAGGAGGAGGAGGTGCTAGAGAGAAGAGCTTTATTTAATGCCCCCAACAAAGCCCCCTCTGTGAAGCAGGGCACACACTGGTGGGCTTACAAGAAAGGAGACAAATGCTGCCTTCAGAGGCTGAGAGGCCACAAACTGGCTCAGCTGGCTCAGGAGTTGGCGCCTGCCAGGGCTCCCAGGCTCACTGTCCCCTGCTGGGGCCACCATGGGTCTGTGTAGCCAGGATTTCTACTAGGCTGGGAGACCTGCAGGCGCCTCAGGCAGGCTGAGCTCGGGGCTCGTCCCGGCGCCCCCCAGCCAGACGCTAAGGAAGAGGGACCCAGGTCCCCGGAGCCCCTCAGAAGCACAGGGAGTGTACTCTTTTCCTAGGGCCACCAGGATCAAGTACCAAAGCTAGGTGGCTTCAAACAACAGGAATTAACTCTCTCACAGTGTGGGGGCTGAAGACTTCAAGGGGTGGTGGCCGGGTTGCGCTCCATCCACGGGGCCCCAAGGAGAAGCTGTCCTTGCCTCTCCCAGCATCTGCGGCCCCCAGCTCTCCTCGACTTGGGGCCACTTCACCCCCTTTCTCTGCCTCTGTCTTCACACTGCTGCTCCCGCGTGTGCCTCGTCTTCTGCCTGTGTCTCTCCCTCTTCTTACGAGGACACTTGTCCTTGGATTTGGGACCCACCCTAATCTAGGATAGTGTCATCTTGAGATCCTTAATTTAATCACATCTGCAAAGACCTTTTATCCAAATACAAGTCACATTCGTAGGTTCCCATGGTTAGGACTTGGTCATATCTGGGGGCGGGAAGAATTCAACCCCCACGGATAGGTATTACTACTCTCCCAGGTTATAAAAGAGGGGACTGACGTCAGAAGTCCGCTGCCCTGGCCATCCCCCTAGTCAGTGGTGGAGCAAATGTGCAGATCTAGCTCTGCTGGGCAGCGAGGTCCACTCATGTCCCACTCTGTTCAGCTACCTCCTCCTCTGTGACCTCGGGAGGTCCCGTGCCTCCGTGTCCCTGTCTGTCATCTGGGTATGATGACAGCGTGAAGACACTAGAGAGAAAAGCTGTCCCTCAGGAAGTGCGTGCTATGGCCAGGCTCTGGGCTAAGTCCCTTATTTGTACAAAACCAAGCATAGGATGTAGGTACTACGGTGAACCGCTTGCTACAAATGGGGGAGCTCAGTTTTAGGGGAAATGATTTGACCAAAGCCCCATAGCCGGCATGTCATGGAGCAGACCCAGATCCACCTGAAGCCAAAGCCTGTGTTCTCAGCTACCCATCAGAGCTACCTCTTGTGGACACCACTTTCCAGCCTTCCAGAAGCTTCTTAGAGATAGTGTCCGTGAAAGCGTCAGTGGGCTGTGAGGTCTCATCTGAATGGAAGGCAGACCAGCGTTTTCATGGCTGTCATTGTTGCTCCCGGATGCCATTGAGGGGCTCTCCTGCCTTCGGGCTGGCAGAAGTGTGACCCACACCCAGGGAGAGCCTAAGTGAGCTACGGGCAGACGCGACCCCAGCCCACCCGGCATCCTGCAGGGAGTGACCAGCAGGCCTGGGCCATCACCTGAGTCTGGTCCAGCTGCCCCCACCCGGCCAGCTCCCAACCCACCGTGGTCTCCAGGGCCTGATGGGAACCTTCCAGGTCAGGGGAAGGGCCCCGAGCTTCAGGGCACCGGGCCAGTGCCCATGGCCATGCCCCGGATGGCAGCCCCTCTCACTGCCCTCTGCTCTGTCTCCTGCCCAACCCAGGCATCGTGCGCGCCTCCAGCGTCTTCCCCATCCTCAGCACCATCCTGCTGCTGCTCGGCGGGCTCTGCATCGGCGCCGGAAGGTTCTACAGCCACAAGAACAACATCGTCCTGAGCGCAGGCATCCTCTTTGTGGCTGCAGGTGGGCTGCCAGCTCTGTGGCCCCTGCACGGTGTGCACGTCCTGGTGCGTGCGCGGGGGGCGGGGCGGATATAAAGTCACTTCTCGTAATTGAGTTCAGACATCCAGGTGTGAGGGGGGCCGGAGCGGAGAGTGGGGAGCAACTGCTCAATGGGCATGGGGGTCTCCTCTTGGCATGACGAAAAATGTTCTGGACCTAGACAGCGGTGGTGGGTGCTCAACATCGTAGATGTAGCCAACGCCACTGACTTGTGCACTTTAAAGGGTTAATTTGTGTTCTGTGAAAAACGTAAGTAAGTCCAAGTGTGCAAAGTGCCCCAAGGGGACAGTGCTGGTGCCTCACAAGCCTGTGATGGGGAAGCCTGGCTGAGTCGGGGGGGGGTGGAGGTGGGCAGGGAGGTACCCAGAGGGAGTCAACGAAGCCAGGACCTGCAGGAGCTGACCAGGTGAGGACAGGGTGAAGGGGGTATGGAACTGGCACAGCGACCCAGTGAAAACCCACAGAGCTGTGGGCGACAGTAACACACCCCTTGCCTACCTGGCCCCAAATGGCTTCACCCTGTCACCCCTCTGAGTCTCGGTGGAGACACTTCAGCGCATGTCTTGCCACTGCAGACATGGGAGAAATCCAGGCCGGAAGTGGGTCTCAGAGCTGGTCCCTGGCCGGCAGGTGCATATACACAGTCCAGGACAAAACCCCGGGTTTTCTGGCCTGAGTCTCTGGGGGAGCCTTGAGGGGGCACCTGCCGGGGCAGAATTTGGCCGGTGGCATCCTGGAAGCTCCAGGCAGCACCGGTGGAGTTCAGATAAACTCGCAACAAGGGTCCCTGTCAGGACAAACAGGACCTCCTGCTGTCTTAGGCCTTCTAGTACCTAAGTTTGAGATATGTTACAAAGTTCAAGGATTCTTTTTTTTTTAAGATTTTATTTATTTATTTGAGAGAGAGAGAGCAAGAGGGGTGGGGGGCAGAGGGAGAGGGAGAGGGAGAAGAAGACTCCCCGCTGAGCAGGGAGCACGACTTGGGGTTCGATCCCAGGACCCTGGGATCGTGACCTGAGCCGAAGGCAGACGCTTAACTGAGCCACCCAGGCGCCCTGAGTTCAGTGATTCTTTCCTAAATTGTTATCATAGCTCCTTGCAAAGCCTTAACAGTGTTCTTGCTTTCAAAGCATCTTTTTTCTGACCCCGGTCTGGGGAGGCAGCCCTAGCTTGGCCTGAGCTCTGCATCCTACAGCAGCCCAGGAGTCCCGTGATGGTGACAATGAGAATCCAAGTAACAGCGGTGGTCGCTGGTGGTCCTTGGTGGTCAAGCTTCCTTCGCTGAGGACAGCGGCGGGGGGGCTGGAGGGGGGTTGGAAGGGCCTCACGGTGCCCGAGCCCATCTTGTCCTCTCTGCATGGTGTCTGTGAGAGAGGGAAGGTGACTTCGGGGTCAAAGCAGTTAAGGGACTGGCTCAAAATCTTTCAGTCAGCTTCTTATGCTCCTTCCTCGACATCACTTCTGCTTCTGTGTCCTTCCAAGGCAATGAATAGTGTGTGTGTGTGTGTGTGTGTGTTGGCAAGGAGAGCCTGAGTGTAGAGTCTCCTTCTTGGGCAGGTCCCCATCCCTTTCCTTCTTGTCCCCTCCAGGGGCAGAGGTGGGGGGAAAGGGGTATACCCCATTCTCTCTCCTCCTTTGAGCCCCCAGATTTCTGAAGGTGTGAACCGTTAAAGAAGTCCCTGCCATGAGGTTTGAGTCCTGTCCCCTTTCCTTTCCCCACGGAAGGGAAAGAAGACTTGCACCAACACCAGCTACCACATATTAAGGCCATGTGCCAAGTGCTCAGGGAGCACAACCACAGCATCCCAGATTCTGAGGAGGCCGTCAGGTGGCCCAGGTGGCTTCCCTGAGGTCACATGGTTGTAGGGACACAGGCCGTGCCCAGCGCTGTCAGCCTCCACTGTAAGGTGCCCTATGCAGCTGCCCATCTCCCCAGGAGGAACCATACAAAGCCATATCCAGAGGCTCCGGGTCACCAGAGGCGCTGTGGAGTCCCAGGCCCGGGGACACTCAGCTAAAAACATGGGTCGAGAGAGGAGAGGAAGCAGGGACGAGGAGCAATCACGGCAGGCAAGCAAGGCGATGTTCATTTGTTCCTGTTTATTCCCTGGTTTATGGAAGCTTTGATCTTGGGCCAAGGCAGTGGCAGGCCAGGGCTCATGCATAGGGCCCCCGGCTCCAGACCACTCCAGCCCCAGCAGTGAGGTGAGATGGGCCCCTAAAGCATTGGAGGCGGGAAATGGTCAGAGCCTGGGGACAGGTATGGTTCAAAGGCTGGGAGAGCCTGGTGCACACCATCCACACTGGGATCTTTGCAACAGGCGAATGGACAGAGGACGTGGCAGTTCATAGACCATACAACACATTACTTCACAATGAAACACAACGGTTATGACAGAATGTAAAAGCATGCTCACTGTGTGCCAAGTGCTATTGTAAGTGCTATGTATATATTAGCTCATTTAATCCTCACATCTGCCCTGTGAAGCGCATACCACTGGGATTCCCACTTTGCACGTAAGAATTCTGAGACACGGGAAGTTGAGTAATAAATTATAGGCTGCGGAGGCATTTTGTGCGGGGCGGTGACTCTGAATTCAAAACACAACATGGTACCCTGGGTGGATCCCGGAACAGAAAAAGAACACCGGTGGAAACCCCAGTGAAATCCAAGTAAAACCTGGAGAGTAGTGAGTAGTAACGTACCAGGGGGGTTTCCTGGTTGTGATAGACGTACACGGTAATGTCGGCTGTTCACGGGGGAAACCGGGTGAGGAGGTAGAAAGGCGCTCTCCGTACTCTCTTCACAACTTTTCAGTACGTCTGACATCCCCAAAGTTTATTTTTGAGTTTTTAAATGCACCCAATGAAGCAGCAGTTTCACGTCAAGGAATTCTTCCCGCAGTTGTAATCATGTGTGTGTGGGATGGTGTGGACACAAGGATGTCCGTGACAACTCTGCACAGCGGAGGGCTGGAAGCTCCCTGAACGTCCACAGCAGAGGCCTGGTTACATGTCTGTGCAGTGGCCGCCACATGCACTCAGAAAGACAGACAGCTCTCTGTCCTGACGTGGCACCATCTGCCAGGTGGAGTGTTCCAGGAAGAGGCAAGGGGACAAAGAGTATTGTGCAAAGAAAAAATAGATGGGTGTGTGTGTGTGTGTGAAAGAGAGAGAGAGAGGGAGGGAGGGAGGGAGAGAGACTGGACATAACAATGATATAAGAAAGAAGAACAGGGGCATCTGGGTGGCTCAGGCGGTTAAGCGTCTGCCCTCGGCTCAGGTCATGATCTCAGGGTCCTGGGATCGAGTCCCGCATCGGGCTCCCTGCTCGGCGGGAAGCCTGCTTCTCCCTCTCATCCTCCTCCCTGCTTGTGCGCTCTCTCTCTCTCTCTCTCAAATAAATAAGTAAAATCCTAGAAAGAGAGAAAGAAAGAGAGAGAGAGAGGAAGGGAGGAAGGAAGGGTAGCCGCCTTCAGGAGGGGAAGTGGGCAGCCAAGTGCCTGCGCTTTATTGCACACTGCATCTGAACTTTTACTTTACTACCCATTCAAAACCAATTACTTAAAAGAAAAGTTGGCGACCAGAAGAAAGCAACACCTGTCCAAGGGAGCGTGGCCACCAGCCCCTCCTCTGTTTGTCCAGCTGCGGGCCTGACCTCTGCCTCACCACCCCCCCCGACCCCTTTCTGCTTCCCTTTCAGGCCTCAGTAACATCATAGGCATCATCGTCTACATTTCCAGCAATGCAGGTGACCCAAGCGACAAGCGTGACGAAGACAAAAAAAACCATTACAACTACGGTTGGTCGTTTTACTTTGGAGCCCTGTCCTTCATTGTGGCCGAGACCGTGGGTGTCCTGGCTGTGAACATTTACATTGAGAAAAATAAAGAGTTGAGATTTAAGACCAAACGGGAGTTCCTCAAGACTCCCTCCTCGTCCCCCTACGCCAGGATGCCAACCCACAGGTACCGACGGCGATGTTCGCGGTCCAGCTCCAGGTCCACCGAGGCCTCTCCCTCCAGGGCGGCGTCCCCGGTGGGCCTGAAGATCACCGGGGCCATCCCCATGGGCGAGCTGTCCATGTACACGCTGTCCCGGGAGCCCCTCAAGGTGACCCCCGCCGCCAGCTACAGCCCCGACCAGGAGGCCAGCTTCCTGCAGGTGCACGACTTCTTCCAGCAGGACCTGAAGGAAGGCTTGCACGTCAGCATGCTGAACCGGCGGACGACCCCTGTGTGAGCTGCCCCTTCCTCTCAGCACCGGCCTGTCCCCAGAACAGCTGTGTGGATCCCACACCAGGGCACCTGCCCCTTAAGATGGACCAGCAATGGACGGAAGCCAAACCCACCCCTCCCTGGTCTCCAGCAAGTGTCACGGGCTGGCTTGGCGCGAAGCCACCCAGGAGACGGGAAATGGAGGCGGAAGGCTGACTTTGTCCCCAGAGAGGGTGTCTGATGCCCCGGGATTCTGAAATCTCCTGAGGCTGCACGGCCTTGAGCGGCCCCAGGGAAGACAAAATCGAGCCATTATCTCCTCTTGGAAACAAATCTTGCCAGAAGAATGGGCTTTCGGGATCCTCCCTCCCTGCCTGGGTGCTGGGCCACCGGGAGGGCCTCACCGGGCACACGGGGGCCTTTGGACACTGGTCCACTGCTTTCTGATCTGAGGTTTCCGTGTCTGTGAGCAGGAAACGAGGAAGCCGAAACTTGCCCCCTTCCTGTCTGTCTATTGCGCTCTCTCTCTCTCTCTCTCTCTGGCAGTGGCCGGTTGTTGAAATAACCATGATCCTGAGGAGAAAGCCCTGCGGCCAACTGGTGCTTTGGCCTTTGGGCTGTCCTAGGGCCAGCTTCCCTTGACCTGAGGAGACCAAGGCCTCTGGAAGAATCCGCAGAGGGGGAGGCCTTTGCTGGCCGAGGAGGGGGTGGTGTGAGATAAAGGCCGGAGTCTGTTGCTGGCATTCCTGTCCGCTTGTAGAAGTTTCTGCCTCACACAGAAAGGGCAGAACGCACTGATGGTACTTGAGAGTCTGGAAGATTCCACGGGTCCGAGGAAAGGTGGCCATACGGCCTCTTGCTGGGTTGCTCCCCACTGACCGGAGGAGCCGCTCTGTCCCTCCTCGGGGAGAGGAAGGGGCAAACCCCCGCAGCCCCCCACACACACCCTGGTATTTGGCAACAGGAGCCTGAACTTCTGATCAAGAAAGGGAGACCCGGGTAAACAGCGACCAAAAAATCAGCTCAAACGTCCACTTCCTAAGCGGTCATTAATCCAGATTTATTGCCAGTAGAGGCCAGGAGAGCAAGTGACATTCATTTCTTCATCTTAAAAAGGCAGCAGTCCCTCCCCGACTCCTAGGATTGTGATTCATCCTGCCACCCCCTGAAGGGCTCAGCCGAGAACGTTTGGACGGAAAGGCCCCGCCGTGCTGTCCTTCCTCCTCGGGAGAGGGACATCCCAGCGCCGGGGGGCCTGGGAGGCGGCTCCATGTTTGACGTTCTTTCCATCCACAACCGTTCCTCCCTCTCCCGAAGCGAGCAGAGAACGTGGAAGCGGATGTGGGTTCAGAAGCAAAACTTTCTGGAACAGGGAGCTCACCCTCTTTTATATCAAACACGTGCTTTCTAAAGACAAATCCTTTCTTACTTTTTGAGACTTGGTAATCCGATCTCGAGCGGTCGTCTGTGGTCCAGTAGCTGTCCTCCTTAGAAGTGACAAGCAAATTCTTACCTCAGCCACCTGCTCAGCGACGCCCCTCCACCCCCTGGGCGGACTCAGCCCCTTAGGAGTTCAGATCTGGGTCATGGTCATGGCCATCCTCCTTCGCCCCCGCCCCCCCCCCGAGAGGAAATCTCCCCGGGGACCCCTCACCTGACCACCCTGGAGTGCGGGCCCGCGGAGGCGCGGTGTGCTGGGGGCCCCTTTGTGCTTGCTCGAAACCCCTTCCTCCCGTTGAGGTTGGCTTTGTGTGGTGGCCTGTCCAAGCATGTGCGGCAGTAAATGCTGGAGTGTCAGGGCTCATGGCCGGCCCTGCTGGGGGCCAACCCCGTCCCCGTCCTGCCCCTGCCCCGACCACCCTCGGCGCACCCCTCCCCCCATCCAGGACACCATCGCATCAGGCTCAAAGGAAGGGCGCAAAATCTGGGAAGCCACCTCCCAGCGAGGTCCCCAGGCTCTTCTGTCACCTCCCAAAGCCAGGCAGCCATGCTGTTTCTTCCACCTCCACACTTGCTGCCCTAGAGGTTTCTATCATTCCACGGAGAAAAGCTGTGTTCCGATGAATCCTACCTCTTGCCCAGTCCCAGACAGAGAATGTGGGGCCCACTCTAGGGACCAGGAAAGAGTAGAAAAGAAGCAGCAAAGGAGGACAGAAGAGCAGGGAGACCCCGGGCTCCTGGCCTCTTGGCCCTGGTCCACCCCTCCTGCCCACCGACCCTCGGCCAGGGCTGCCCAGGGACGTGGGCGGAGCTGGCTCCCTGCCACCTGTCAGTCTGAGACCTGCGGCCTGGGCCTGCCCCCTCCCATCCCACCGCCCTCTCCAACCAGCCCCTGTGTGTTCCACCAGTTAAGCACCTGTGAATCCTGTACCTACTACTGGTTTTGGGTTGTTGGTTCTGTCTTTTTTTTTTTTTTTAATTAAATAAAAACATTTTTAAAATGTTCTCTTCTTGATGTGGGGGGGGCGGGAGGGTAGCTAGAGCTCCCCTCAAGTCTTGGTGGGCACTTAGGGCAACCAGTGTCCCTGAGTCTGGGGGGACACGGTGGACCCTCCAGGAGAAGAGGGTCAGGCAGGGTGGATCCTGTGCTGGGCAAGGTGGGTTTCTCTGGCTTCAACCTGGCTTTAATCGGGTTTCCGAGTGCTGGGCGGTGCCGTCCAGGTGTCTCTCTTCGCGGATGGGCTGGAAGGTGGACAGGCCACCCCAGGGCTGCGGTGTGGGCATCCGGGCAGCGAAGCAAGCCTGGCCTGTCTTCAGAACCTTGCAGGGTGGGAGCCAGACAGACGGAACCATAGCCTCGGGGGCCCTAAGCTGCCTGGCTGGCTTTCTAAGGCGTCCAGCCTCCTTTGCCCTCCAAATTCTGAAATGACTAAGAAATAAAGGAGGGCCAAGTACCCCAATGACTGGGAAAGCCGGCCAGGAGAATGTGGCTCCAACCAGAGGCCAGATGGGACCACGCCACCTAATCTCAGGCACAGCAGCCGGCCACCACTGTCCCCAGCCACCAAGGAGGAGTGAGGTCAGGGTCAGCGAGAGGGACAGCGTGACCCCTCTGATCAGGGCAATGTCGACATCCCGTCACAGGCCCCGGCCAGTCACAGCGGACGTCCACCGTAAGCCAGGACCTTCACCCCCGCAGACGGGCACTGGCAGGTTGTCAGCCCTACGCTCTTGGGAGGCACGGTGAGGGGATGATTGGTATCCTCCCCTGGTTCTACCCGAGCGGCCGCCCAGGGGCCTTTTAACATCCAAGCACACGTGCCCCTGTCTTCCAGGACCCAGACTGCGGGTTTTCCTCCTACAGCCCCAGGCTTTGGCGCTCCTCCTGGAACCTAGAGGCACTAAACTCTGAGCCTCAGGAAGGCCTTTCTCACCCTGGTCCCAGCAAAGGGAGGGCGAGGTACACCGTCCCCACTCTGGGGGCAGCAGGAACCCCTCCCAGCATGTCTGAACTTTCAACCCCGGCTTTTTGACCCTCTTTCCTTCTGCCTGAGATGGGTACGTGGGGAAACTGAGGTCCCGGATGAGCCACCAAGTACCGGGGCCGGGGGAGTTCAGTCCCCCACCCCCACCAACTGAGCCCCTGCCAAGCTCCAGGCCGATGGCCCCACCAGCCTGAGCCAACGCCACCCAGCACGAGCCCCATGTGCCAAAACTTCCCTGCCTCCTATTTATTCTTAGTCCTCAGGAAACCGGCTCAGCACGAGCTTTGCAGCCGTTCTGGTGGAATCCCATGGCAGTCTGAATGTAGGGGCAGGGTACGGCCTCCAACGTGGGGCTCACGGGGTCACGAATCTGCCAACTAAAAACTCTGCCACCCTAATCCGCAGTGTTAGATCCACAAGAACTGACACAAAAGGGGCCCCCCCATTCTTCCCTTCACTTACATCACTCAGAGCAGGCTACCAGCATAACGAAAAACCCCCACTCGTAGCATGGCTTAATGCAACAGAAGCTTCCTTCTCACTCATGTCAAGTCCAACCAACGGAGCGGGATGGGGCGTGCTGTGCTTCACACATTCAGAGGTAAAGACCCATCCTGTGGAGGCTCACTCAGCCTCGATATAGGCTTCCCACGTCGCCCTGGCATGGACATCCAGCAGCCCGATGGAGGAGACAGAGGGCAGGTGATCTTGGGAATAGGGGAGTCTTGTGGGGACATTTACTTGACCAGGAAGCTGTGACTTCCCCTTCTGCTCATGTGCCGTTGGCCAGAACTCAGTAACGCAGTCATGCCTCTAAGAGCCAGGGAAGATGGGAAATGTAGTCCCACCCAGGGGAAAGAAAACCGGTTAGGCGAACAACTGGCCAGTCTCAGCTCCCTGGTCTATGTCTTTCAGTACCTCCCTCTTTTGCCTCCCCCACCACCAATCTTTGGGGGAATGCGCCCTTGACACTAATACTTTGGGACTGCATCCACCTCTGTGTGGCCTGAGCCCTCCTTCAGCGCCAGTGGGATGCCTGGCCTCTTCTCTGCTCCAGATGCCCCATCTGTAAAATGGGCCCAGGCTCCCTTCTCCCAAGGTTTGGAGGAAGAGGCTTGCACCTGCGCCTTGACCCAAACGAGAACCACGGAATCACTGGACATCACGCCCAACAGCAGGGGTAGGCACTTTAGGAATTATCTCATTTGAGGTATTCATCCTAGAAGAGGAAATAAGCCTAAAGAGGGAAGGAGGGACCAAGGAAGAATAAGCAGGAGGAAGGAAATCCTTTTTGAGGATGTTCACCAGGATCATGAAAGGGAGATGCCACTGGCCCAGTGGTTCTCAAGCAGGGGTGATTTTGTTCTCCGAGGGACACCTGCCAGTGTCTAGAGACATTTTTGGCTGTCACAACTTGAAAGGGGGGGTGCTCCTGGCATCTAATGCGTGAAGGCTAGGGATGTTGCTCAACATATCACACCTTCACCCCACACGCCAGGAATGATCCGGTCCAAATGTCAATAATGCCAGAAACCGTGCACCGGCCTGATTCTACAGCGAGGGAGACTAAGGCACTGGTGGGTGAGGTCCCTGGCGCAAGATCACCCGCGAGGTTTTGGTATTTGCATCGACGCTGTGGACATATTAGGAAAACTCATCCGTTTATTTCCAGGATTTCCTTTCCCTGCGACACTTTCTTTTTTTTTTTTTTTTTAAAGATTTTATTTATTTGAGAGAGAGAATGAGAGACAGAGAGCATGAGAGGGAAGAGGGTCAGAGGGAGTAGCAGACCCCCCGTCGAGCAGGGAGCCCGATGCGGGACTCGATCCCGGGACTCCAGGATCATGACCTGAGCCGAAGGCAGTCGCTTAACCGACTGAGCCACCCAGGCGCCCCAACCCTGCGACACTTTCTGATTGTTGCCTTTCTCCTCTTCGCTTCTGAGCCAGCAGTTTGGGTAACAGATAGGTTGTGGCAGAAGGAAATGGGAAAACATCCACCTGTCCTGGGTGAGGGTGGGGGGTGCCTGGGTTTGGGGTCAAAAGGCTGACTGAATCCAACCAAACAGGTCACCGGAGAATAAGCCCAGCAACCCAGCCCAGCTCGAGGCTGGGCCGCACCCACCCGGCAGCTGCAGGGACGGGGCCCGGAGCCGGAAAGACCGACTCACCGGCAGGCAGCACTGGGCTAGGCCCCCAACATCTCAGAGCCCCCCGTTCCGTCCTCCTGGGTCAGATGAGGAGGGGGCGCTTCCCTCCCAGGGTTATTGGAAGAATGAATAAAACTTAAACGAGGAAAAGTACATAAATACCCCAGCTCAGCAAGGAGAATTAACAGTGAGGTTTCGGGAGCGTTGGCTTCTCCAGATGGGACTGTTCTAGAACAGCCCTCAGAGGTGGTGCTCTGAGAGCCAGGCCCGCAGGGTGCCGTGCCCACTGCACTTTGGTTTGGGAGACACCTGTCATCCAGCCGATCCAACACAGTGCAGCGCCCCCAGGAAAGGGCTCCTGTCGCAGCCGCTTCTCTGGCTGAAGCCCATTCATTTCCCCCCTCAGTGGTCTCCAGGCCACCAAGTGGTAGAGGGCACAGCTGCCACACGGCTCCTGCCTTCTTCGAAGCTTCTGCAGGCCCCCAAACCTTACTAGGGCCTTTCCAGTTCCTCACGGGCCATGCAGGCTGCAAGAGCCCAGTCCTGACCACTTTCAGGTGCCCCCAGGCTACACGAGAAGGTCTGGGGTATCCTAGCATGAGGCTGGCACAGAGGAGCAGCCTGGGGTGGGGGTGGGGGGTGGGGGGGAGGGGAGGCCTCCTTGCAGGGAGCTCAGAGCCAGCACGTGGCTTCAGCTCCCTGCACTCGTTCCTAATATAGCACCCCTGGCTGCCCAGCCCTAGACATGAGGGGTCGGGTGAGGGACTGAGGGTAGGAGAGTCACTCAGGGACCTTAGAATCCAAAGGGGGAGATGAGGCCATACACCTGATACAGATATTTTTAAACTTGCAGCTTCCAACAAAACTGCCAATACAACCTCAGGAACAGAAGTCTGTGGTCAGAGAAGGTTATGAACTCATGTCCTTGGACTCGTAATAGCAAGAAAGGGAAGTGAGGGGGATGCTGATGCCTCCAGACCATTATTCCTCCACCTTCCTGGAGAAAAGCCTTCTCTGAGGGCCTGGGGTAGACCACCCCGAGCTCCTTCTCCTCACTGTCATCTCTCAAACACCTTCCTGGCCACTCCTTCACATTCATCAGAGGCTTCACCTCTGCACCCCACATCCTGCCACCATCAACATCCATGGGGCCAACCACCCCAACTCCCTGGTCTCACAGTTCTCCTTCCTTCGCACCTCTAAAGACTTTTGTCTCCAACCTGGATCTTGGCAGCACCCGACCGTCCCCCCGCCCCCTGTAATCTTCTGGGACAGCATCCTCCTCTGCCCACAGCTGCAAATGCTCCGCTCCTTCTCTCCCTTACCACCACTCTACCTGTTCTCCAATCTCTCAAGCCCTCCAGGGCCTTGACTGCTCCATATTCTCCCAATACATCAACCTTCCTTGTTGCAGGGCCATCAAGAGTCATCATTCAAACTCATCCTTGCCAATGCCCTCCATTCCCTTGGTCCCTTTTCGTTCTACCTTTTCCCCCTGGAAGACCCCAACCCTCCTAATCTCACCTTCCACCTTCTCCTGCACCTGAGCTGCAAGGTGATGCCAGAGAAAATCAAGCAAATTGTAAATCAGCACATGTGTAGGAAGATAGTGACCTCCAAGGCCTCCAAGGATGTCCAAGTCCTAATCCCTGGAACCTGCAAATATGTCGTTTTACGTGGCAGGTGTGATTAAAGTAAGGATCTTGAGATGGGGAGCTGTTCCTGGATTAGCTGGGTGGACCCAGTGTCATCACAAGGGTCCATCTAAGGGAAAGAGGGAGGCGGCAGAGTCAGAGGAGACATGATGGCAGAAGCAGAGGTTAGCATGGCACCATCATGGGCCTCAAAGACGGAGGAGCTCGTGGTCCCCTGGGCTCACAGGATGGAATTGGGGGCAGCAAGCCTGATGCAACAGAGGGTCCGAATTGAACAGTGCAGGGAGGCGGATGAAGTGGTGGAAAGAGGTTGGACCAATTGCGTGGAACCGTGCTTTTTTATAGTATCTTAAGATCAAACGCCCAAGGCCATGGCGCAGCCTAATTAAGGCTGAGCTCAAAATTAGATCAGCACGTTGCCAGGGAAGACTTACTCAGCCCCCTCCCAGGTGTGCCCTGACCCCAGCTCCGAATGAGGTCCACCTATGGGAGATGTTTTCCTTCCTTCCCCTAGTTATGTCTGGTCTTTCTTGGGAAAAGAGCAGTCATTTGGGACAAACGAAAACTGGTTCATCTGGATAAGTAAAATATAGACAACTCCCGTTTAGCTGAGTGTGGCATATCTAAAGATTGTAGAAAATGTTGGATCTCAGGGGGCCGCTTCCTTTTGAACTTGACCACAGAGGTAACAATGATGCTTTCCTGGGGTGTCCCTCAGCATCTTGAGGCAAATTAGCCATTGGTCCAAGCTGTTCTGGGTTTGCCCCAGCTGCCATTTCTAATGTCCCTATGGCCTTAAACCACATAGAAAGGTCCTCTGGATCATCTGGTGGGGTAAATTATTTGAGTTTCTGTCCCCTTCTTTCAGTCCATCTGTCCACCCAGCCATCCATCAGTCATTCAGCAAATGTATATGAAGATCCACCCTGGACTCAAATGTGGGGGTGTTCTCTGAGGGCACCCAGAATGAGTATATGATACAGCCTCATTTTCTCTACCCTCCAGAAGCTTATTGCCCATCAGAGAAGCGGATCCATTTGTGGTCCGTAAGTAATAATAATATCACTAGCCATCCTGGATATGACTGCCTACTCTGTTAGCTCAGGTAACAAAATACCATAGACGGACTTAAACAACAGGAATGTACCTTCTCATGGTTCTGGAGGCTGCAAGTCTTAGATCAGGGTGCCAGCGTGGTGGGGTTCTGGGAAGAGCCCTCTTCCTGGGTTTCACCGCACCGAGTCCTCACGTGGCAGAGAAAAAGAAAGAACAAGCTGTCTGGTATCTCTTCCTTTAAGGACACTAATCCCATCATGGGCCCCATTCTCGTGACCTCATCTAATACAATCACCTCCCAAAGGCCCCACCTCCAAATACCATCACACTGGGGTTTGGGCTTCAACTTCTGAATTGAGCGGTGGACATAATTCTGTCCACAGCACCTGGCACAGGCTAAGCTGGTAAAGAGCGTTATCCCTGATGCTTGCCAGCTCCCCAGCCAGACATCACTGCCCTCATTTAAGATGCAGGAGGGCAGCTTAGAGAGGCTGATGAGCCCAGCCCAGGACAGCGGAGCAGGCTCTGATCCGCGGCTGGCCACGCCATCCCTGGCAGGCTGGTTCCCCAGGGCACCCTCTTCCCCCTTGCCCTGGAAAGGGGAGGGCCCCCCCCGCAGCAGCTGCGGATATCTCCCAGCCCCGGCTCCCAGCAAACGCCAGCATCCACTGAGCCCCTTCCCCGGCCCAGCAAGGTTCTGGAGAGCCGCACATATGCCTGGCAGTGGCCTCAATGAGCAGAAAAGGTCTGTTTGGAGGAATTTTAGGAAACGGGGCTGGGGGGCTACGACTTACCTGCAACCCCTGGAGTTGCCCACATGGGGCCGATTTACACAAAGACGACTTCAAGAGGAAGAGGCCATACATCTTTAATGCTCTGCTCCCTGGGGTGGAGGACTCAGGACCCCCCATGCTGCACAAGCCTGCCCCCCACTGAGGCCAGGAGGTTCACTGGGAACAGAGGCAGGGGGGCAGGGAGAGAAGGAGAGCGGAGATGAGGAAGGTTGAGGGCGGAGCTCTGGCAGATTTACCACCTGGATGGGGAGGCTGGTTTGCAACACGAAGGGTGAGCGGTAACTGCCCTCCGCCGGCCTGTGGCTTCGGACGGGAGGCCTCAGCTCAGCACTGGCGCTTGGTCACTGGGCAGGCCTGGCTTGGCGCATCCTCTCTCTAGGCTGCAGCTTCCTTTTCTCGGTCATGACGGGGTTCAGGGCACATTACTCCAAAATATGGCACCTTGGCATACTGAATAGTTTAGGTGGAAGGAATTCGAGGAACGGCAGGTGCCAGGACCCCCGCCCTGCCCGTCTGCCCTGAAGCAGGACCTGAGACCCTCAGGTGGGAGTTGTCCTCCCTCTACCCGGAGGAAAGGAGCTCCTGCATCCCCAGGACCCCAAGAGGGACCTAAATAGACCTCGCTGTTTCCCCAATTTACTGCACTTAGTTCATAGCCTCTTGTTTTCCTGATATCTTTCACCAACTTTCTGCTCTTCATCCCACTGTGCATCCCAGTGCATAAAAACACAGTGTGAACCGTTCCTTCAGGTCTTTGTTTCCCGAGCCAAGGCTCCTGTGTCATGGAAAACTTATAGCGAATAAGTGTGTATGCGTTTCTCTTGTGACAGGAGCCTGAGCTGAGAACTTAGAAGGGTAGAAGGAGAGGATACTTTTGCTCCCCCATAGCCACAATAGATCCAGACCTCTCCTCCCATCTCCAACCATCACTTCAGAGTTTGGGCTCTGGGTTCTGAAACCTGGCTTCACCATTTGCCTGCTGTGTGACCTTGGACAAGTTGCTTCGTGTCTCTGAGCCTCTGTATCCTTATCTGTAAAATGGATGTCATAGTCTCAACTCACCTCATGGATTGGTGTGAAGTTTAAGGGCAATGATGTGGAAAGGCTTAGCACAGCACATGCTATATAGTAAACACTCCCTCAAGATGCACTGTTCCTATGATTATCGTTATTATTAACAGACTGTGATTCCAAGGCTGGATGCCTCTGAGAGTTTCTGCGCACACAGGAAGAGTATTTCTGTAAGCTGTGGCAACCTGAGGCCAGGATCTTGAAGCTCAAAACCCTGCCCAGCTCAGGGATCTATTCCTGGCCCCACATCAGCCTCTTGGATAGACCCCCAAAGAGACAACTGGTCAACTGATAAAGAAGAGATGCAGAACACAGGAGAGGTGCAGGGGCTCGAGCCCCGGGGGGCACATGGTCAGGCAGGACTCTCTGGGGTCCGTCCCAAACTGTCCTCTGTCCTCTGCTGGGTCCACACACCATCAGCCTCTTAATAGTCCTCTTAATAGTCAACCCACTGCTGTTCTTTTTTACTTAAATATATGTATTTTGTAAATGAAAACATAACTGGCAAATCTTGAATAGAAGTAAAACTGAAACAGTAAAATGAAACCAGAACTACAGTCAGGTCCAGCTGGATTCTTTGTCCTTTCCAGGCTATTCTTTGATTAGCAAGCATTGGAAAGGTGTCCGAGACTTACTAACCCCAAACGGAGCTTTCCTTCCGCACCCAGTTGGAGGGATGCGAGGAGAACTGAGAAGGAAAAAGCGGGGGCGCCTGGGTGGCTCAGTGGGTTAAGCGTCTGCCTTCGGCTCAGGTCATGATCTCGGGTCCTGGGATCAAGCCCCGTGTTGGGCTCCCTGCTCAGCGGGGAGTCTGCTTCTCCCTCTCCCTCTGCCCCCTCCCCCACACCGTGCACTCATTCTCTCTCTCAAATAAATAAAATCTTAAAAAAAAAAAAAAAAAGCAAGCAAGCAAGAAAAGGAAACAGCGTTCCCACGCTGGGCACAGTGCTGGGTAATGCCAGGCCCAGGAGCCACCGGAAATCTTCCTGCAGTTCGGGGATGTGCTAGGGCTCCAGAGTTCCTGGCAGGGGATCCTCAAGATGTCCTTAGGCAGGATCCTGAGTCCCCCAAGCCTCCAGGACAAGGACCCACTCACACCCGCCCCGCTGGTGAGAGCACCAGGCTGTGGCACCTGTGTCCCCCAGGGTCCCCTGCCCCCACCCAGCAGTGTCCCCTGCTCCTGCAGCCCAGAACAGGCAGATTCCCACACCCCTAGTGTCCCTGGGGCCTACCCCTCAGTGCCTCCCACTCAGGTATCCTGAGCTGCCAACTGTGGAGGTCTCAAGTCACCATCTAGAGCCTTCTCTCCTGGTCCCTCCTTGAGGTATTTCAGGTCCCAAGAGGGAAAAAAAGCTCTGAAACCTGAGGAGAAGCTATCCTTGGTGACACGCCTGAGATGTGCATTAATAGAAGCCTCCCTCAGGCCCCTGACACGTCTGGGCAGCTGCTCAGCCCCGTCTGGTGTCCCTCAGCCCCGAGGCCAGCCCCCTCTGGCTCAGCCGGACACACTAAACTTAGCTTCCACCCCCCAGCTCGATCATCGCCGCCACCTCCCCAGCCTGGCCACCACCTGCCTGGGAGACACTGCCACCAGACCGTGGCCCAGGGCACCCACTCTTCCGCCACCACCATGTCCCAGACCCAAGCACCGAAGGTCCGCACCACCCTCTTCTGCATCCTGGTGGGCGTCGTGCTGGCCTTGGTGGCCGTGGTGACCGACCACTGGGCCGTGCTGAGCCCCGAGGTGGAACACCACAATGCTACCTGCGAGGCGGCCCACTTTGGCCTCTGGCGGATTTGCACCAAGCGTATTGTCATGCCTGACAGCAAGGACAAGACCTGCGGACCCATCACCCTGCCTGGGGGTAACGTACCCACTCTCTGATCCCATCCCCACCCCCTGCCCTTCCTCACCGCCCCCCGCCCCGGGAAAAGGTGCCTGTGGGAAAGAGGGCAGGTGTCCCTGCCGCAGACCAGAAATGCCGCCCAGCCCTCTGTGCCCAGGGAGGAGGATCTGAAGTGCGTGTGTCATCCTGGAGGCCAGAGCCGGCTTGTAAACTGAGGGCGTTTGTCTCTGGCTATTTCTGTCCTGCTGAGGCTCCCGGCTTTTCACCCCGAGCCCAGGGCCGCACAGGTGGGACCAGAGGCTCAGGAAAGAATCCGTGGCTCTACCAGACGAGAGGCTTGTGCTCTCCCCAGCACAGACAGGCTAAACGGCCCGAAGTCCTCGGGCTGAAGGGACCCGTGTGGCGGGCACGCTCATTCCGCAGCCTCCAGGCTGGGCGTGAGACAGGATCAGCCACACAGTGTATACGGCGTAGGGCAAAATGGAAACGCAGGGCTCCTTGTGATTATTCTTAAGAGTTTCAAGATGGCAACAGTGAAGCCTGGAGCCAAGTGTGGGGCCCTTGCCTGACTGCAGAGGCCACACACCAGTGAGGCAGGACCTGGTTGTAGACCTGCTTTTTGTCAGAACCATCACTCCTGTGCATTCTCCTAGCTCAGACCCCTTCAGAGCTGGGAAGCATGTCCTCCTGCTCAAATTTAAGTGCATTCCTCAATCCCCGCCCCCATGGGACTGAACCGCACATCAAAGGTGAGCTCCTTGTCAGGAACACCTGGTAGGAGGGTGACCAGTCTATTCTGCAAATGAGGAGCCCTCCACATTCATAGCAGACAAAGCCCATGCTGAGGAAAGAGCCCTGTGTGGAGAATCAGAGGTCTGGGCTCCGTCATGCATGGCCCACGACCCCCCCTCCCCCTCCCGCCCAGTGACTCTGGGGTCAACAAAGCCCATACAGCTTCTGCTGTCTCCTGTAAAACCCAGTGCTTGGGCTCAGCAACATCAAGTCCCTTCCAGTGCTTAACCAGTGTCAGTGTGAGGTGGTCGTGGACCAGGGTGAGTATAGTGACCCACCTGATTTTCAGAATCATTCCCTCTGTGATCAGACTGGGTGTTCCTTGAACCCTGCCTTTCAAGGAAGTCCGTGCTAAGTCCCCAGAGATCTTGCAGTCTGTGTGTGGGACAAGGGAGCCCAAACTCCATTCCTCTACTTCTCTTCTTCCTCTTCTTTTCCCTCCTGCTGGCTCTAGAAAACTCCTGCCTTGCTCATTCCCGCTAGATACATGGAAGACTCATAAATACCCAGCTGTCTTAGAAACACTGAGTCCCCGGGCTGAGGGCTTTAACAGACATGGACATGTGCTTTTGAAGGGTATCACATAGCTCACAGGCCCACGCTCCTCAGCCAGGGCCGAGCACACCCGTAAACAAATGCATCGTCCAGCCAATTTCCATGGGCAGGGCAGGGCAGGGTGAGGCAGATTCTCTCTGGACCGTGCAAGGGAATGCACTGTTATGGTCCTGTCCACCTGTCCTCAGAAGCACCTGCCTTTTAAAGTCTGGTGAGTTTATAGAGCAGATGAGCAGGGAGGCGAGGCAAGTCCATACAAGGAAGAGACAAATGAGCAGGAGGTTAGCTGTAGAGGACCAGCAGGCATGGTTTGGCCTTGAGCCTGACCAGAGTCTATCTCTATGGCTTCTTGCCCTGGTCCAGAGTGAATCCTCCCTCCCACACTTGCAAGCCCTGCCCTACCCCGCCGACAAGCTTTCGGGGAGATGTATTCTCTGGGAGACTGGGAGATGTATTCATTCCAAGCATTTTACAAAATGTGATCTGATTACCAAACTAACTGAGCAAAGACTTCAGTGGTCCCACATGACAAAGGAAACAGACTTTACAAAATTAAGTCACTCAACAACATGTTCCTGCCTTCCCTCTCCTTTCTCTGCAGATGGACACCTTTTTCCTTCCCCACCCACCTTTCCTGTGCTCTGTGGGATTACTCCTTGCTGCAGGGAGGAAGAGAGTTCATACATGTTCTCTCGTTTATTATTAACAGGAGTCATAACCACAAACCCAAATCTAGTACCATCTGCCAAATATTGTTTTCAGTGCCTTCCATATTTTTACTTTGAATGACATCAGAAGAAAGGGCAGAGTAAGAATCTCCAAAAACCCTCTTCTCCATAAAAACAATGAGAACTCTGGCAAAAATGGCCAGAATAAACTTTTTCAGAACGCTGGAAATTAACCAGTCTTGCAGCAATCCAGCGAGGGCTTCTTTGAGAAAACTAGGTGAATCTCAGTAAGAATGGTGGAGTTTTGGGGTGCTTTAACTTGCTCTATTCCTGTTCCCCCCTCCCCAACTCTGTCATAGCCTTGAAAACCAACAGCCTGCAAACAGTGAAAATTTAGCAGCCTGGCAGCCCCCAAAGGGGACGGATGGGACCAGATCTCTTTCAAAGCCTCATTCCCAGAGAACTGTCATTATTTGATCTGTCTGGTGGTTTCCTGGAAGTCCCCACTTGCAAGGCTGTCTTTATTTGACCTGACGCTGAGCTCACTCAGTGGAAACAGTCTTTTTCCCAGGGGTCATTTGTCAAAAACAATGAGAAACAATCACTTAATAGCACAGCTCCTGAGGCAGTATCCAACAGTCAGGGCAAACAATAGGCCAACCAAAAAAGCTAGAGAATGAGATGTCCATAGGTGGCTTTGAAAAGCTCCAACATATTCTGGAGAATTTAGGCCTTGTGCATGCAGAGCGCTGTATGGTATATAAGGAAAGGCCTGAAAAGGCCCTAAGCTCTCACCTTGGGCTGATCTTGAGGCTGTGGGCAAGCAGAAAATGAAGGCTAACGCAGAAATGTAGGATGTTTGGTGGAGTGCTTAGCTCTCTGCTTAGCACAGAGCCCCTCAGTAAAGACTGGGAGATGTATTCATTCCAAGCATTTTACAAAATGTGATCTGATTACCAAACTAACTGAGCAAAGACTTCAGTGGTCCCACATGACAAAGGAAACAGACTTTACAAAATTAAGTCACTCAACAAACAATGACAAACAGCAACAAGAACAAACCCTAGGGAAAGGTGGGACTCTGATTTCCAGAGTTGCTCATTATATTGCTTAAATATTCCAGCTTTAAATTTAAATTTTAAGTTAAAAAAAAAATCACAAGACATGCAAAGAAGTAAAACAGTATGGCCCATACATAAGGGGGATAAAACCAATCAATAGATCCTTAAGAAAGCCCAGATATTGGACTTACAGACTTTAAATCAGCTTTTTTAGATACGTTCGAAGAACTAAAAAAAAGTCTAAACAACTAAAGATGAGAATGATGTCTCACGATAGAGATTATCAATAAAGAGATAGAAATTATTGTAAAAGGACCTAATAGCGTGAGTCAGGCCCTGTGTTGCACTCTGCACTGGGCATGGAGCGACTTAAAAAAAAATACTTTGGGGCGCCTGGGTGGCACAGTTGGTAAAGTGTCCAGCTCTTGGTTTTGGCTCAGGTCATGATCTCAGGGTCATGAGATCAAGCCCCACATTGGGCTCCATGCTCAGCACAGAGTCTGCTTGAGATTCTCTCTCCATCTCCCTCTGCCCCTCCCACTTGTACTCTCTCTCTCTCAAATAAATAAATAAATCTTTAAAAAGAAAACACACACAAGAAAATAAAAGTACCTAATAGAAATTCTGGAGCTGAGAACTATAATAATTGAAATGGAAAATTCACTAGAAGTGTTCAATAGCAGATCTGAGCAGGTGCAAAAAAGAATAAGTGAACTTGAAGATAGATCAATTGAGATTAGCTAGTGTGAGGAATAGACAGGAAAAAAAAGAAGAAAAATGAACAGAGCCTCAGAGTCCTGTGTGATAGTATCAAAGGTACAATATACACATAATGGTGGTCCCAGAAGGACAGGAGAGAGAAAGGAGCAGGAAGCAGAAAAGCAGAAAAATATGGCTGAAAAGTTTCCATTTTTGATGAAAAATATTAATCTACAAATCCATGGTGCTTAATGAATTCTAGTAGGATAAATCCACACCTAGACACATCATGATCAAAACTGTCAAAAGATAAAGACACAGATTCTTGGAAGCAGCAAAAAATGACTCATCACATACAAGCGATCTTACTAAGGTAGGATTCACAGCGGATATTTTTCCAGAAACCATGGAGGCCAGAAGGCAGCAGGATGACAAATAGAAATATATATATTCTCATCTAATCCTCACAAAACCCTCTATGAGGTCATACTATTACCATCATCCCATCTCACAGATAAACGAAATGAGGCACAGAGAGGTTGAGTAACTTGACCAAGGTCACACAACTACCATGGCAGAGCAGCTAGAGTTCATATCCCTAAAATTCACCTTCTTGGTCACTACATTATACTAGTTACAACAACCCAGTAAGGAGGCTCTCATTCTTCAGGTGGTTCTCATTCTACTTGTGGGAAAACTGAGGCTCAGAGTGGCCTTCCCAAAGCTAACCTTCTCACAAGTTCAACAGCCAAGTCTCAAATCCAGAGCCCCTGTTCTCTCAAGCCCACTGCCATACGGTATCCCCCACTGTACATACTGATCCAGGCAGACACACAAGAGGCCAACTTTTGACATGACATGGTTTAGAAGAAGCTCGACCAGGACCTGGTTCAACAGAGACTTTTCAAAGTCCCATTCAGCCATAGAATGCTGGGGGCTCTGAGGACATAAATTGTCTAATTTGGTTTTTCCCACCGACCCAAAGAGTTTTAGAAGAACTGTCATGCAAAGATCAACATCTGAGGTCAATTCTAATGTCTTCAGAATAAGAGTAGGGTCTTCCCTCATTGTCAGGAGAGGTTGTCTGTCTGAGAGCCCAAGTGAATCACATCCCCTGCCCTTGGGTTGGACAGAATGTTGTCTCTCTCCAGCTCTGTCTCTTTAGGCTAAGGCAGCAGACTGCCCCAGTACCCTACTTCCCGTATGGCTCATCCTCTCTTCCAGAACCTGGTGCAGGAATTGGAGCCATATGAAGGAACATCATATTATGGACCCCAAGAATTTCAGGGGCTCCCTTTCCCAACCACATGAGCTAATGTTAGAGACCCAGGCCATAACCAGACTTCTCCCCCTCCCCTGCCATTGAACAGCAATGCTCTGACCCTCTGGGCTGGGGTCTTGGGGATTTCTTCAACCCATTGGATGAAAGTCCTCAATCAGAGTGGTAGGGGGAGACAGAGCCCAGAGAAACCACTATTGGGAGCATCAAGAACTTCTTTTACAAAAAGGGTGAAGACAGCCCTGCCGTTGATGCAAGTGACAAGTAAGCGAAATATTTTTTCCAACCCTGAAGTCACTAGCTCCCTTGGTTTTGTGTAAAACAAGGTATTTTTTGAAATATATTAAAGTCTGCATCAACCAGCACTGGGTACACTGCTACATTCTCAGTGATAACCCAGAAGCATCCCCTAATCGTATAAGTTACCCCAACTATCAGAGAAAACCTGCATTAACTCAAGTTCAGGTTGGAGTTAAACACGCCTTCTGTTTTAGTTCTTTGAAACTGGCACAGTTAGATATAGTTCCCTTAACCAGAATACTTGCTTACCCAGAATACTCCAACCCGAGTCAAGCTCAATAGCTGAGTTCACCATATTATTTTTAAAGATTTATTTTTGTTTATTAGAGAGAGAGAGAGCGCAGTGGGGAGGAGCAGAGGGAGAGGGAGAGTCTTAAGCAGACTCCACGCTGAATGCAGAGCCACACATGGGGCTCAGTCTCATGACCCCAAGATCATAACCTGAGCTGAAACCAAGAGTTGGACACTCAACTGACTGAGCCATGCAGGTGCCCCAAGTTCACCATATTTTTTAAGGAATAACCCTCTTAAGTTTTTAGACCACTGAGTCTTCTGACTGTTTATGACAGACATTTCTGAAATACAGAAAAATAGAAATACAAATATTAGAGTCACCATGAGCCATTTGCAGAGACAAAGGAGGCTGGAGGAACTTCCAACTTCCTGATTATTGGTCCCAGATCATCACCCCGACATTGGTATCTCCACTGACTTGATCCAGAGCACTTGTTTCTTCTGCCCAGTAAAGGGGCTATAATCCTTCAAGACCAAGCTCTAAGCCCTGAGCTTTGTGCAGCTGTAATGGAAGCCAGGGAATGGCATGGAAGGATATCCGAAAGGCAGAAGCAGGAAGGCTCAGAATCTCCACAGTTGTCACCGAGCTGTCACTGCCTCTCTCCTCCAAGCCCCTCGCCTGTGACTAAGTGGCCCACACCGGGCCCATCTCTGATGTCCTTCCTTTTTAAGTTGCTCTTGATGCTCAGTGTACCCAGAACCCCCAGACAAAGGGGCAGAAGCGAGGTCTGCCCACCTCAACAGGAGCAGTCTTGAGTGACACAGGCAGATGCCCGGCTTGATTTTTCCCGAATGAGCATCTTGTTGGTGCTGGACATGTCTGGAATGACACCTGGGTCTGACGTGCCCCCACCCCTGCTGGGGTCATCAGGGACCACAAAGGGGCTTGTGGTCCTCCATGGGCAGCCTTGGGGCCCTAGAGTAGATGTTACCCCCAGGCTCAGGGCCGAAGACGCTGGCCTTGCTCATGTGCTAAGTTCAAGAGAGGGGACCGGGTTGGCCCATCCATTCTCGCGCCCTACGTTCAGCCACATCAGAGAGAAGCTGAGACTTCCAGATGCCCTGTGTGGGAATCCCACCCACTGGGTGCCCCCTATCCCACACAATGTGCTATCATTTAATAGGGGAGGAGAGGGAGTAGGAGTGTCCCTGGGTCACTGAAGGGGAAAATCTCCCCCAGAAAATCCACAGGCTGGCTTCCCCAGACAGGCAGCCTCCCACCACTGTCTGAGCTAAGACGGTTTTCATGCAAGCGGCGGTTTGTCGGGATGGAGTCCGCCCCTGATCTCGGGGGGCTGACAAGGCAAACACTAACTACGTGTGCGAGAGGGGCTCAGCAGCCCAGAACTGCCAAACAGCGATGTTTTGGCCAGGCTCTGATGGGCCTTTTTCTCACGGCCCAGAGGCTTTTAACTCATGGGTTGCGAGGAGTCGGGGAGGCAGCTGACTGTGAAATATACCTGAATCCAGTCAATTCTTTTCAGAGGGTTTTCAATGACAACCGAAATTGGCCCTTAAAGAATGAAACAGAAATGTTCCTTTGTCCAGAGGGAGACGCACACGGAGACTTAACGACATCGCACAAGCCATTCAGAAGCAGTGATTCAAGAGAATCTATAGCTAATAATCTAACAAATAGAAGAGGGTTGCATTATGCTTTAAAATAGCACCGGAAGCTGTGAGAGAGAAAAGAGCAGCATTAATTCTGACATCATTGCTGGCAGTCAGACACCCCAGGTAACTCTGCTCAAAAGGAAAGTGATTTAAATATAGACGCTCAAAGAGAAGGCTGTTTACCTCGCAGAACAGTCACTGCTGCGAACCCAGGCTCGTCCCCAGGGGTCATCTCCTTCTCCATCATGGGAGCTGAGCAAACCTGACACTGGGGGAGGGGAAAGGAGGGGCGGCCATAGGCTTCAGTGGCAATAAGATGATTTAGGTCAGACAGAAGAAAGCCTGCAACCCAATGAAAGCTGTGTCTTTGGCAACATCTCCGGCGCATTTCCAAAAGAAAGCGGGCATCAATAATCAGGATCATTGAAATACAGCCTGAAAGTGAAGAAACGAATGCATAACCTAGACGCCATCTAAACTAGGAGTGGAGGTGTTTCCTACTGAGGGTCATGGACCCACAGGAAGAAGAAATCAATGGAGGGCCTCACACAAATAAAAAGCAACCCAATTTAATTTTAAGAAACATAAAATAATATATATTTTAAAACCCCATTCAGCTACTTCCTAAAAACGGAGTAAAGAATATTAAATTGTACTCAATAAGCAGTAAGAATATCCTTCAGTTTTAAAGTATGTCAAGTTACAAGAGAAATTAAGGGAGAAAAATGGAAGAGAAATTATGCCTGAAACTGTGTTTAAAACCAGCATGAATTTCTTTGTTCTGAGTCCTTCCTCTGCGCCCCATCAAATCCAGATTTTTGGTCCTGCTGTTCACAGATCTTCTATGGCTTTCCTGACACTGATCAGGTAGAACAGGCAGCTGACCAGAGGAGGGTTTGTCCGGCCACAGGTGTCAAGGGTCTGATGAAATGACATGATGATCACCCACATTTGGCCCTTGAATGGAAGTTCTCTACCCTGCACTCAAATCCATCCATTTGGCCCACTCAGAAAAGCTCTCTGTGGGGCATTTTAAAAGACCTGGAGCAGGGCTTCCCAAACTGGGTGAGCATCAGAGTCTTCTGGAAGCTTTTGAAACACATCACTTGCTTCCCAGTCACACCCAGTGCATCAGGATGGGCCCGGATACTGATAGGAAACACAGCCCTAGATTTTGGTATGACCAGGCTTTCTCAACCTCGGCCTTAATTCTATGCTGTGTGGGGCTGTCCTGTAGTTGTAGGATGATTAGCAGTATTCCTGGCCTCTATCCACTACCCGCCAGTTACCCCTGCCAAACAGGTCTCCAGACCTTGCCCAACAAGTCCCAGGTGAGAACCACCCTCTGGTCCTTTGTTGACGCTGTTCCCTGCACCCCCTGAGAAACGAGTTGCTGAGCCTCAGTTACCCCATCTGCCTAATGGGCTCAATACCCACAGGACTCTGGCCCTCTTGACTGAGTCGGCCTTTGCTTCCTACAGATCTCCTAGCCTCTTATGAAAGCCCCTCATCCTGCTGAAATTTTGGTCTAAGCGGCGGAGAAAGATGTTTGTTTCGGCCCAGATTCGGGGTTTAGGGAAGGGAGGGCCAGTCCATGGGGCTATCACACCCACCCTCTCTTGGTGGAGCCTGCCAACCCTCTGGCTCAACTCATAGGCTGTCTCCCTCCTTTGCAGAGAAGAACTGTTCCTACTTCAGGCATTTTAACCCAGGCGAGACCTCAGAGATCTTCGAAGTCACTACTCAGAAAGGTGAGCGGGTGGGGGAAGGCAGGGAGGGTCAGGAAAAGTGACTCCTGGCCAGGCTGCTGAGCCAGAAAACCATTTGGCACAAAAGCCCTGACTTCTCCGCTTGCAATGCAAAGCGGCTCCGGCCTGATGCTCTGCGCTCTGAGCCCGCAGCCCTGGGCGGCCGGGCCGTCCTGAGCTCTGGGTCCATCAGGCCTTGAGAGAGCCTGTAAGGAGAGGTTTCTGGGGAGGCCCCGCAATCGTCTTCCTGCCCAGCCCGAGGGAGGCCGGAGTGACGGGGAAATGCAACAGTACCCCAACCCCCTGTGCTGGTCTTCGGGGCTGCTGGGGCAGCTGATCCCCTCCGTAGCCTATCGGTCCCCCCCCCCCGGGGGCGTCAGGGGAGCCGCCCAGGGCTCTGGGAGCACGTGTGCCCCGGGGGCCTTCCGGGAAGCACCTGGGCACGGTGCCGACCCTGCCCAGGGTGTGGGCACGCACGCGCACACGCTCGCTCGGAGCGAGCCTCACGTGCCAGCGCACACGCGAGCACACTCGCTCTGGCAATCTACACGTGTGGTGCGGGTGCACACACACGATCACGCACGGGGCTCTGCAACAAGCCACACTTGCAGCAGCTGCCTGGAGCCCCAGGACAGCCCACCCTCCGCCCGAGCCCGCCCCCGGCGCCCTGGCTCGCAGGAAGCTTTCTGTTCCAGAAAGGTCTGCGGCCACGTGGCTCCCGCCGGCTGCCAGGCCTCTGCGCGGTGGGGGAGAACCTGCAGCTCAGCGCCTACCCCCCGCCGGGAGTGGGAAGGGGGTCTTGTTGCCGTCCTGGCCCCACCCCTTCCCCCCGCCGTGTGACTCTGAGTGAGGGGTTTCATCTCGGACCCTCAGCGTGCTCCCCAGGGAAATGGGCGCAAGGACGCGCGGCACCGGCCCTCGGGCCGCCGAGGGGCCGCCGCTGAGCCGCGGTGCGGCCCCCGCCCCCCTGTCCCGCAGAGTACAGCATCTCGGCCGCCGCCATCGCCATCTTCAGCCTCGGCTTCATCATCATGGGGACCAGCTGCGCGCTTCTGTCCTTCCGGAAGAAGCGGGATTACCTGCTGAGGCCGGCGTCCATGTTCTACGCCTTCGCAGGTAGCGTGGGGGCCCCTGCCCGTGCGGCCGGGCGGCGGGGCAGGGACCGGGGACCCGAGCGCGGCCCCGGGGGGTGGGGGGAGCTCTGGGCAGAGGGCCCTGAAGGTCCCGCTCGGCCCGCAGGCCTGTGCGTCTTCGTGTCGGTGGAGGTGACGCGGCAGTCGGTGAAGCGCATGATCGACAGCGAGCACACCGTGTGGATCGAGTACTACTACTCCTGGTCCTTCGCCTGCGCCTGCGCCGCCTTCGTCCTCCTCTTCCTCGGCGGCCTGGCCCTCCTGCTCTTCTCCCTGCCTCGAATGCCCCAGAACCCCTGGGAGTCCTGCATGGACGCCGAGCCCGAGCACTAGCCCTCCCGGAGCCCCCGCGGGGCTTTCCCCTCAGGAAGCCGAGCCTGGCCCAGAACGTTCTGGAGAGGAGGCGGGAGTTTTACCTCTCCCCGGTCCCACCTACCCCACGACAGCCGCTGCTGCTTCCCTCTCTGAGCCCTTCTCTGGGCTGTGACAGGCTCCCCTGGGAATCCAGCAAGTGGACATGATCCACACCTGCCCAGGGTGGGAGGGAGACGGCAGGGGTGGCAGGTGCAGGGTGTCTGGTGGGGACCCCCTTCCCCTGGAGCTCCAGGTGGTCCTCGCTGAGCCAGTTGTCTTTGATAAGCTGGGTCCAGGTGTCCTCCGTGAGCCCTGTAGGGACCCTGTGCTCATTTATCAGTTCTGGGTGTTGCCTGTGTAAATAGCCAACCCCTCCCTCCTTCTCTGGGACAAGACACACCCTTTCCACTGAACTGAACGTGCCCTCCTTGGTTTCCAAGATAGGTGAGGAGCATTTTTTCGCTGGGTAGAATCTGACTGTGTTTGAAATAAAAGCTCTTTGAAAACTTACTTTGCCCTTGCACCTTCCATACAAATTGCTTGGAGTCCTGACCTCGGATGGCCCAGGGGCCCCATGACCCTGAAGGAGGAAGAAAAGCATGTGTCCCGGTCCCCCCCCCGCTGCGTGTGTTGAGGACTTTTGTAGGGAGGTGTGGGGATGAGGCGGGAATGGGGTCCTGTTTACCAATAAGACTTAGAGGTTCTGGATTCCAGCTTCGATCGCTGGGCCTGGGATTTTCTTTGGGAGAAACCAGACACCATCTGGCAAGGCAAGGGTGTTAAAAAGAAGGAGGGGTTCTTTCCAGAGCCCCAGCGCGCTGGCCTCCAAGTGCTAAGAGCACTCAAGCAGTGGAACTACACGGTCTGATTTCAGATGCTGGATTTTTGTAGCAGGGAACATCAGGAAGCTGCGCTTAGCAGTTAGACACTTAGGGCCCCCCCGCCCCCGGGAGTGTCGAAAGTTACACTTTCTACCTTCTGAAACCGTCCTGGTAAGTCAGACCTGGGGTTAGCGCTCAGTCCTCTGCAGCTGGGGTTGCAAACTACAGCCCGTGGGCCAAACCTGGCCCGCCGTCTGCTGTGATACAGTCCACAGGCTAGGAATGGTTTTTACTATTCCAAATGGTTTTTAAAAAGCAAAAGAAGAATATTTTATGATATTTGGAAAGTATTTCCATTTCAGTGTCTGTAAGTAAAGTTTCACTGGAACTGTCAAAGAAAAAGTCACTCAAGGGCGCCTGGGTGGCTCAGTCGGTTAAGCGCCTGCCTTCGGTCCCAGGGTCAGCTCCCTGCTCAGCAGGGAGCCTGTTGTCCCTCTGCCCCTCTGCCTCTCTCTCTCTCTCTCTCTGTCTCTCATGAATAAATAAATAAAATCTTAAAAAAAAAAGAGAAAAAGTCACTCAAGTGGTATAAGGGCATATTTTAATCAGTAACATACTCTTGTAATAGGGCATAAACTGTGACAGGCTGTCTGGCTCGCACTACCTGGCCCTTTATGGAAAAAGTTTGCTGACCCCTGTTCTGGAGTAACCGTACACTCATCAGTCAGCTAATTCACCCCTCGCTGTTCCCATCTGTGATGGGAGAGAAAAGAGACCCATTCGTTCTGCTTAGAACAATTTAAAGGGCAGAAGCATGAGTCTGGGGGCACCTGGGTGGTGGGGGTCGTGGTGGGGCTTGTCCAGATGGCTCCGTGTTGTCTCAGGGGGTTGGGCTGGGCTTGCAGGAGTGGCTGAGGAGCCTGGGGGACAGAGAGCACAGCCCAGCCTGCTTTCCAGCCAGGGGTGGAGCAAATGGCTGGCACACGATTGTGAAAGCAAAAGGGTCAAAGAGAGCAGGGTGACATAAATGTCAGGAAGCCAAAGCCGGGAGCTGCAGAGAAGGGAGGGGGGCAGGTGAGTCCTGGAGGAGGCTGCACAGCCCCACGTGGCCCCACAGCCACCGGCGGGCCACTGTCCCAAAGAGGCAGTGACAGAAGCCGAGAGCAAACGTGCTCCAGGTAGGAGAATGGGAAAACGGAAGTCTGGGCCAGCCAGGGAGTTGGGGCCACGGTTTAGGAGTAGGAGGAAAGACAGACGACCTCATCCCACAAACTCCATTTTGGAAGTCAGTGTTTTCATCGTTTTTATTATTATGACGACTTTTACCAGAATTAGACCGGTGTGCATCTTAGGTTCCTACATGGGTGCCCGTGTTTTCGGCACCGAAGAGCCCTTCTGAGTGGAATACCAACTGAGCAGAATACACTTGGTTTCCCAGAACTTGAACTCTTTCGAGAGAGTCCTAGGTGTACCCGAAACTGCTTTGCACACAAAAGCATCCGAGGGTGGCTGCCAGAGAGTCACGCGTTCTCGCATCTGCTCCAGCTTCTGCCGTGGAGAAAAATAGGCCGCAATAAAGCAAAACAGAGCCTGATGCCAAAAAGGAAACAGATCCACCAAACCAAGGAAGGAAAACATGCTTTTCTCCCCAGCCCACTGACCTATGCTTGCCAGGAAGGATGTTCAGAAGGGGCAGTTGGTCCGGCTTGCTCCGGCTGGGTCAGGCTCAGGATTCAGGGTGTCTGTTGGACTCCAGTGCAGGGTTCAGCCAGGCCACGCTCTGAGGGCCTTCTGACCCCTCGCTCGGTGTGTGTGCGCATTTCACGACCATCGGATCAAGGTCTCACACACCTTCACTCTCTCGGCTCTTTAGAAGTCACTGGATTCCATGAGGAGCCAGGACTAGCAATTCGGTAATAAATATTTTTGAGTGTGCGATTTTTTTAAATCGCGGTAAAATATACATAGCATAAAATGTACCATCTTAACCATTTTTTTAAAGATTCGCTTATCTATTTGAGAGAGAGAGTAGTGGGGAGGCGTAGAAGGAGAGGGAGAAGGAGAATCTCAAGCAGACTCCGTGCTGAGCGAGGAGCCTGACATGGGCTCCATCTCACAACCCTGAGATCATGACCTGAGCCGAAGTCAAGAGTCGGACGCTTGACCAACTGAGCCACCCAGGTGCCCCACCATCTTAACCATCTCTTAAGTGTGCAGGTCAATAAGATTAAGTACATTCACATTGTCATGCAACCCATCTCCAGAACTCTTCATCGTCCCAAACTGAAACTTTGCCCCCACTAAGCAACTCCCCACTCCCCCTCCCCAAGGCGCTGGCAACCACCATTCTCCTTTCTGTCTCTATGAATTTGGCTCCTTTAGAGACCTCACAGAAGTGGAATCATACAGTATTTGTTCTCTCCTGTCCGGTTTATCTCAGCGTAATGTCCTTAAGGTTCATCCATGTGGGAGCCTGAGTCAGAATCTCCTTCCTCTTTAAGGCTGAGTGATATTCCATTGTGTGGCTGACTCTACCATGTTTTGCTTATCCATTCGTCCGTTAATGGACACTTGGGTGGCGGCCACCTTCTGGCTCTTGCGACTAATGCTGCCATGAACAAGGGTGTTCGAGTATATGTCTTTGGGACTCTGTTTGCAATTCTTTTGGATCTCTACCAAGTGTGACATTTTTTAAATCAAAATTGTTGCAAAACATCCACGATGAACACAGTATCAAGAGTTGACTTGGAGACAGGATCCAGATTATTGATTTTTCCTACTGTCACGCTCCTGTGACTTGGCATCACGGTGGAAAGCAGCCACAACTGTCCCCGCGTACACAGGAGAAAACGGAAGCAAGTCTGCTGCTTTCCCAGTGTCTAACCAGGGCCCTTTACCAGTCAGTCCTCACCCGACCTCTGTCCAGTAACTGGGGCGGGGAGGGGGGCGGGCTGCAAAGAGACATCTCACCCTCTCTTTGGCTAACACATACAAGGTCCTGACCAAGCGGTTGGGTTCTTACTAATCCCTCCTTGAGACTGAAACTTTCAAGGATCTGCGTGTATCTCGATTTTTCCTGGCTGCCCCAATAAAGATGGATTTTCATTACATCCTACAGCAATATTTTCCCTGCCAGTGTGGCCTGTCCTATTTGGATCAAATATTTTATTTACAAGTTCATTTCTAATTTATACCCTGCCCACTTTCAGAAAAGACCTGAAGGAGAGACAGGGACTAAGGACCCGGTGATGTGGAACATAGCTATTACCTGCTGCTGTGCAGGTTGGGAGGGAGCTGCCCACGGCCCCCTCTCGCCCACATTTCATGGTGTCACTTGTTTGCAGCCACCAAGGCCATAAATTCATCCCCACACGAGGCATGGTTCCTGCATGGTAAAGAAAGTTAACTGAGCTCATTGCCATTACCAGGGGCGATGCTTTCTTCCTTCGGCTGGAACATGAAAGACCTGACCTCTTGGAAATTGTCGATTTGGGTTTAGGCTCGCCTCTCTCTTCGCCCACAAAGTGGTCCTGGTAACCCCACGAAGATGGAGGAGGGGAGATTTGCAACCACTACCAGAGCGTCCTGGGCTCTGAATTTAGGGAGCTCAGATACCAATTCCCAAGTCACTGCTTTACACTGCGGATGCCCTCCCCAGCCCACTCCGCCAGGATGATTTGGTCGCAGCAGACACACGCGGCATTTCCCAGGGCCTGGGGGCCACCAAGCCCTAATGAGGCTAATGAACACAAGGATGCGGCCTACCTAGAAAGGTCCAGGAGGCAGGGAGGTGGTGACGTGTGATCCTCTCAAGGGGGAAGCGAGACGCAGCCCCTGAGGCCGGCCCCGCCTCAGTGAGCAGCCACAGGACACCATGACAAAGGAGGCCGAGGGTGAGATGGGGGGGGGGGACAGCCGGCAGTTGTCACATGAGGCGATGGCAATGACAGAAGCCGAGAGGCTCACATGCCGGCTCCCCAGATCCGGGCAGCGGACTCTTGGCCGAGAAACGGGCTCCAGGAACTCCCCAGTGCCACTGTTGTGTGGGGTTCACAGAAGTGATATTTACCGCTGCGGGAAGGCACGGAAGTCTGGCTGAAAGAAGCTTCTCCTCCTCCTCACCTTCCTCGGAGAGATAGAGGCTCCCTCAAGACCAGGAAGACCCGGATCCATCCCTGCATCCAAGGGGCCTCCCCGTGGCCTCCATGGCAAAGGGTCTGTTGACACACTTCACTCTTCCATTTCCCCATTCAAGGCCTGCTTCGCACATGGGCTGAAAGCCCCCGGAGCACAGAGGCCAACTGGCCTCTCCAGTGGTGCGTGGGGGACCCCGTGCCCCCAGGAGGCGCCTTCAAGAAGGCAGAAGGAGGGACAATAAATTGCTCTGAGGGAAGCAATGCAGGTTTGTGAGTCGGGTAAAGAACACATGGGGTTGTCTGTCCATGGAGTATTCCATTTGAATCGATGAGGGCCCTGATACGGTTTCCCATGCAAAGGTACACCCTCAGTTACCCTCATCCTTGAGGCCCCACCATGTGCCAGGCCCGGGGCGTGATGGAGAGTTCTAGACTAGGTCAGCTGTGAACTTTCTCAGTTTCGTCACCGGCAAACTGATGGACCAGCATGCATGAGAGCCTAGCTCATCACTTGGTCCCCCCAGTTCTACTGTCCTCTGGGTCCCCTTAGACA